TGGTGGGCGTGTTGGAAAGAACAAAGAAGTAGTAGATCCTACGCGTAAAACTTGTTTTTTTTGGTTCGGGATGCTTGCAACACGCCTCTATCATTTCCAGTCTAACATTTGACTCTGGACTGCTGTGCTTTGTTTCCAAGCTTTTGTTTAACATACATTCACGACTGTTCTATTCCGCAGGTTTCGAAGTCGCCAGGAAGTAATACCATCTTTACCTGATCCTCCTCTTTTTTAGTTCTCCGTTGCAACTTCCAACTCGGGCTTGCACTGATTGCCTATTTAGGGCCATCCACCATGGTGGTTTCAACTGTGTTTGCTGCGATTGGAATTGTCGCCGCGGCTTATTGCGGGTTTTATCTCCTTCGTCCATTTATAACCTTCTTTCTGCTACGATTCTGCCTCTCCAAACGGGCAGACCTGAAAAAAGCAGGCGATTGGGCTATTGTAACTGGGGCGACCGACGGCATTGGCAAGGCGTTCGCCCACGAGTTGGCCCGTGATGGGATGAACGTTTTCCTTATAAGCAGGTCAACTGAAAAACTGACCAAAGTGGCTAACGAGATTGAGTCCCTTTTCAAGGTGAAGACCCAAATTTTCACCGCCGACTTCACTACCGTAAGTTTTTTCTGTCGTTCCTACCCTTGCCGCTTATTGCACCTTGTTCTGAGGCTTGGGTCAAAGACAACGTAGCTTTATCCTCATCAGCTGCTGTCTTTCAACATAGTCATGTAGTTAACAGTTCATCAAGCCTGACCACGTTTGCAATCAGTTCACGAGGCCATTTGTGGCCTATGCCTTCGCACTCATGGTGCCTTGAACACGGAACCCCACAGTCAATGTGCTAACTCATGAAATGTCAACCAAAATTTCAAAATGCGTTCTTGTTTCGAAAAGATAAACTAAGTAGTGTTGTTAAACTAATCATGATGCAGCCTAAATCTATAATGATTCAGTTACTTCAGGGTGTCGGCTTTCGGAAGAACTTATTTTCGGCTGCATGCAAGATCTGTACTCTGCAAAAAATGACTACTTATGTAGTCTGCAATTTTCTCATTGATTTTCGATGCTCTTGAAAATTTGATTATTTTTCATGGAAAACATGCATAAAAATATTCATTCTTTATTTATTCGGTAGAAAATCACGTCTTCTTCCGATTTCATACTCAAAAAAAGAGTATAATTCGGTTTTAAAGAACTTTTCTAATTCCCGAATAATTTTGAACCCGACCTGCTGTTACACTTGCATTCAGGGTTTCAAAACTACAAGCTGTATATTTTCCGTGTACGGAAAACCATGCGTTTCTCTACGGTGTTAAGAAGAGACCAAATGAGATTCATAAAATTAAGCAGTGGATTTGAGCAATATTGTTTACTTTACAAGGCACATTCGTAAATGCAAATACATGACGTTTCATGAACGGCCATTTAACGGTATTAAAAAGTCTCACGATTAGAAACTTTTTTAAAACCGAATTATACTCTTCTTTTGAGTATGAAATCGGAAGAAGACGTGATTTTCTACCGAATAAATAAAGAATGAATATTTTTATGCATGCTTTCCATGAAATATAATTAAATTTTCAAGGGCATCGAAAATCAATGAGAAAATTGCAGACTACATAAGTAGTCATTTTTTGCAGAGTACAGATCTTGCATGCAGCCGAAAATAAGTTCTTCCGAAAGCTGGCACCCTGTGGTAACTGGATCATTATGGATTTATGCTGCATCATGATTAGTTTAACAGCACTACTTAGTTTATCTTTTCGAAACGAGAACGTATTTTGAAATTTTGGTTGACATTTCATGAGTTAGCACATCTACTGTAATTCTGCCAAACAGTCTGACTTTGTCGGTAGCTCTTGGTTGTCTCGCCCATGTGCTAATCTGTGTGTCGTGTCACGCATACGGGCGTTTAGTGCCTTATCTTCCTCTTTTGGACCGACTTATATGGAACATTGCAGTTCAGGGTCGTCGTGTCACAGACCCGTCATTGGGCTTTGTAATGTTTCGAAAAGTAGTTTATGTGGATGCATCGAGTAGGCCGGCAATGGAGCGCGTCCTCCGGATCGTGCACACTTGGTCATTACTCACGGTGCTTTCAGCGAACCCGGATTTCGCATATTAGTCCGTCTCGATGTGTTATGCTCCCTCAATAACTGGTTCTAGCAGCCACCTTTCCGCACACCTCGTTCATTTGCCATTTTGCCTGTGTGCCTGCGGCGTTGCTTAATGCATTGTTTTCCTCTTTTAGACCGACTTTTACGATAGTTTACAGCGAAAAATCGAAGAACTTTCTTCAGTCTCCATTCTCATCAACAACGTCGGCGTCTCGTACTCTCATCCGGATGCCCTAGCCACCTGCGAAGAGCTGACTCTCGAGAAACTGCAGGGTATGATTGTCTGCAACGTGACGTCAACAACCTGCATGAGCCGCATCACCTTACCAAAGATGCTAAACTCGCCGCCACCGCACGGTGTCCACCGCTACATTGTCAATATTTCGTCAATTTCAGGTCGAATCGGCAGCCCTTACCTTTCTGTCTACAGTGGTACCAAGGCCTTTATAAATAACTTTACCGCCTCGTTAGCTGGTGAATTGGTAGGAACCTGTGTTAAGGTACAGACTATTACGCCCGGCATTGTGATTACGGCTATGATATCTGTTACGCGCCCGGGTTTCTTTGCACCCCAGCCTTCCGCTTTTGCTTCGTCAGCGCTCTCCATGTTGGGTGTGGGAAGCGAGAATTGCGGCTACTTTGCTCATGAACTGCTCCTAACTGCCTATCTTGCCGTCCCCGAGTGGCTGTTCAGTGCAAAATTCTCACGTCATATGCTGGCAATTCGAGAAGTGTACTACAAGCGTCAAAAATCGAAGGATTTGTAACCACGCCATTACCGTTTCTTCTGTTGCCTTCTCTTCCAACTGTGTATGCCTGTTGTTACGTGCTCTCACCTCTTATAACTGTGGTTGGACTCCATTACTGCCTTTCATTAACCAACTATACTCGTTTCGAATGTGTATTTTTGTATGACTTGACATTAAATTTTCCAAATAAATGTAGACTTTATCACTCAGTGAAAATATTTTTCTTTTCATGGGAGTGCAGTTGGATTGGCGAGCTACGTCATCGAGTTGTTCTCTGTCCTCAGTATTCGGATATCTCCGTCTGGATAATTAATGACAGTCTGATGAGACACAGTAACACGACGACCCGCAGAAGCCAATCATCGACTTCTCTTGTCCCAATTGCCCGTATTTAAATTCTAACAAACTACAGGATGAGACCGTATCATTTGCTGTGGGACTTACGCCTCCTGCCGTACTTCTGTACGACCCTAGTTACCCCTCTCAGCTGTGCTCATTGATTGATTAATATAGTTAATATTCCCGACTGCAATTGACGGGACAGAGAGTTTGTGGTTTTTTGCTAGCGTGCCAGGTTTACTAACGCTTTGTGGTCAAAAAATGCGGGTCAGAGCATCAGGTAAGGCTGGGTGACGATTGCTAATAAACCAGAAATGGCCATCATAGTCTCCAATTTCGTTGCCTATAGTCTCTCTACGAATACGATTATTAACTGTGCGACTGACTAAGGGACTTCAGATCGGGCCATAAATCACAACGATATATATATATATATGTACATATATATGCACATATATATACAGTAGTTGGGCTAAATCATGCAATGCCAACAGAAATTTCGAAATGCGTTTTCGTTTTGAAAAGATTAATTAGGTAGGGTAGTAAAACCTATAATTGTGCAGCATAATTCTATGACAATTCAGTTACCTCAGGATGCCGGCTTTCGAAAAAACTCCTATTTGGCTGCATTTAAGACCTATACACTGTAAAAAAATGACTACTTGAGTAGCATGCATTTTTCTCATTGATTTTCGAGGCCCTTAAAAGTTCTCTTATATTTCATGGAAAACATCCATTTTTTGTTTATTCTGCAGAAGATTATGTTTTCTTTTAATTTTGCGCTCGAAAGGAAGAGTATAATTCGGTTTTTAAAAAGTTTCTAATTGTGATGTTATTTAATACCGTAAAATGACCGTTCATAAAACGTCATATCTCTGCATTTACTAATACTGCTTGTAAAGTTAACAGTATGGCTCAAATGCACTGCCAAATTTTATGAACCCCGTGAAGTCTCCTCTTAATGCCGTAGAGAAACGTATAGTTTTCCGTACTCAGAAAATATATGGCTTGTAGTTTGTAAACCCTGAATGCAGGTGTAACGGCAGGTCGGGTTCAAAATTATTCGGGAATAGGAAAAGTTTTTGAAAACCGAATTATACACTTT